GCCCCATGAACCACAGCACGCCAGGCCTCCCTGTCCATCACCAACTCCCGGAGCATACTCAAACTCCTGTCCATTGAGTCGGTGATGCCATCCAACCATCTCATTCTCTGTCGTCCCCTTCTCCTCCTGCCTTCAATCTTTCCCAGCATCAGGGTCTTTTCAAACGAGTCAGCTCTTCCCATCAGGTGGCCAAAGTATTCGAGCTACAACTTCAGCATCAGTCCTTCCAATGAACACCCAGAACTGATTTCCTTTAGGATGGACTGGTTGGATATCCTTGCAGTCCAAGGGACTCTCAAGAGTCTTCTCTGACACCACAGTTCAAAAGCTTCAGTTCTTCCATGCTCAGCTTTCTTTATGGTCCAACTCCCACATCCATGCATGACCACTAGAAAAACCATAGCCTTGACTAGATGGACCTTTGTTGACAAAGTAATGTCTCTGCTTTTTAATATGCTGTCTAGGTTGGTCATAACCTTCCTTCCAAGGCATAAGCGTCTTTTAATTTCATGGCTGCAATCACTATCTGCAGTGATTTTGGAGCCCAGAAAAGTCAGCCACTGTTTCCACTGTTTCCCCATCTATTTGCCATGAAGTGATGGGACCAGATGGCATGATCTTAGTTTTCTGAATGCTGAGGTTTAAGCCAACTTTTTCACTCTCCTCTTTCACTTTTATCAAGAGGGTCTTTAGTTCCTCTTCACTTTTTGCCATAAGGGTGGTATCATCTGCATATCTGAGGTTATTGATATTTCTCTCAGCAATCTTGATTCCAGCTTGTGCTTCCTTCAGCCCTGCATTTCCCATGATGTACTCTGCATATAAGTTAAATAAGCAGAGTGACAATACACAACCTTCACATACTCCTTTTCCTATTTGGAACCAGTCTGTTCCATGTCCAGTCCTAACTGTTGCTTTCTGACCCACATACAGGTTTCTCAAGAGGCAGGTCAAGTGGTCTGGTATTCCCATCTCTTTCAGAATTTTCCACAGTTTATTGTGATCCACACAGTCAAAGGCTTTGGCATAGTCAATAATGCAGAAGATGTTTTTTCTGGAACTCTCTTGCTTTATCGATGATCCAGCAAATGTTGGCAATTTGATCTCTGGTCCTCTGCCTTTTCTAAAACCAGCTTGAACATCTGGACATTCACAGTTCATGTATTGCTGAAGCCTGGCTTGGAGAATTTTGAGTACTGCTTTACTAGTGTGTGAGATGAGTGCAACTGTGCAGTAGTTTGACCATTCTTTGGCATTACCTTGCTTTGGGATTGGAATGAAAACTGATCTTTTCCAGTCCTGTGGCCACTGCTGAGTTTTCCAAATTTGCTGGCATATTGAGTGCAGCGCTTTTCAGCGTCATCTTTCCAGATCTGAAATAGGTCAACTGGAATTCCATCACCTCCACTAGCTTTGTTCATAGTGATGCTTCCTAAGGCCAACTTGACTTCACATTCCAGGATGTCTGGCTCTAGGTGAGTGATCACACCATCGTGATTATCTGGGTCGTGAAGATCTTTTCTGTACAGTTCTTCTGTGTATTCTTGTTACCTCTTCTTAATATCTTCTGCTTCTATTAGGTCCATACCATTTCTTCCTTTATTGTGCCCATCTTTGCAATGAAATGTTCTCTTGGTATCTCTAATTTTCTTGAAGAGATCTCTAGTGTCTCCCATTCTATTGTTTTCCTCTATTTCTTTGCATTGATCACTGAGGAAGGCTTTCTTATCTGTCCATGCTATTCTTTGGAACTCTGCATTCAAATGGGTATATCTTTCCTTTTCTCCTTTGCTTGTTGCTTCCCTTCTTTTCACGGCTATTTGTAAGGCCTTATCAGACAGCTAACTGCAAAGAGTGCTTTGCCCAAATCTCAGCAGGGGAGTGTGAAATTCTGTAATACCTAGATTTTCAACAGCAGAGATCTATCAAATATTGACAACAGTAACTAAGAACATAATAGAGGGTGTCTTTGAACTCTAAAATTTATCACCTTCAAACAGAAAGATGGAAAGTTAAAGGGAGAATTTTCATTCTTATGAGGAGACGAAGCATAACGTAGAACAACTGAAACAGAAGGCTTCCCAGGTGATGCTAGTGGAAAAGAACCCAACTGCCAAAGAGGAGATATAAGAGATGTGGGTTTGATCTCTGGGTCAGGACAATCCCCTAGCAGAGGGCATGATAATCCACTCCAGCATTCTTGCCTGGAGAATCCCATGGACAGAGAAGCCTGGCGGGCTACAATCCACAGGGTGCCAAAGAGTCAGACAAGATGGAAGCAACTTAGCAAGCACACATGCACTCTAACAGAAATGAGCAGACCTTTAGAAGAAAAAAACAAACAAACAAAAAACATGGACCTCCTTCCTGTACCCACATAGAGCTACATTTTTTATGAAAAGGTAATGTTAGAGGATTTGCATTGTGACTAAAATCATCAGATTTTCTTAAATTTAAATTTTGCTAAAAATTAAGATCTTTCAAGATACTTGCTTATTAATATTCTTAAAATAATTATAATCCTTGCCCATTATGCCAATACATTTTATTGAAAATTACACATTATTTGAAATATTTAGTGATAAGAATACCATTGTTTTATACCTTACTAGAAAAGAGCTGGATTCTCATTTTCATTCCTGCATTCACTCTACTAATATAAGCTTTTTCATTTTTTTCTGCTTGAAGATTACAAAAAAAAGCTAGAAATAATGTAGAAAAAATGAGAAGTATTTTCATAGCCTTTTTCAGATAATTGTGGCTATTTTTGATTCTATACTCCAGCTTGACAAGAGGTAGTTTTTTAAAGATTAGTGATTCAGATTTAAAATCTGTAAAGATTTTAAAGATTCAGTGATTTAGATTCAGTAGAAATCTGAAACCATATCGATAAATCTTTCATACTTTAGTAAAAGTCATTACTATCTTTGAATGTGTCTTTTACCCATATATGAATTTGTACCATCATATATTGTTCATTTGGAAAATATTTCTTCCATGAATTATATAAATTGTCCTAATATTTACATAATTTACTATTCATATTAAAATAATAAATTATATGTATTAATATATCCATTAACTTATCAACAAAACCCTAAATTACTGAGAGGATATAAACTCATGGAGATGGACACAGGTTTCTACACTTCCAATTCTTGATTGAAGTATCATTTATTTTTTTAACTGTAAGTTTGTTGTGGTGAAGAAAAGTGACTATTGCCATAATTTGGTGTCCCTACCTTGACTTGTACTGACACAAAAAGTTTCACTCACTATTATTTCTGCACTAAAAATGCAAATGTCAGTAAAATTATTGTAGGATAAAAAGGGACCATTCAAAGGGTTATTTAGAACTTTGTATATTTCAGCATTACTTGTGTTTATTGCCAAGCATTTCATATATTTTCTTCTATGATGCCTAGCTTACACTTATTTTGTAACTTAGATAGCATATTAAAAAGCAGACATTACTTTGCCAACAAAGGTCCGTCTAGTCTAGTCAAGTCACTGTCTTTCCAGTGGTCATGTTTGGATGTGAGAGTTGAACTAGGAAGAAAGCTGAGCACCAAAGAATTAATGCTTTTGAACTGTAGTGTTGGTCTTGAGAGTTCCTTGGACTGCAAGGAGATCCAACCAGTCAATTCTAAAGGAAATTAGTTCTAAATATTCATTGGAAAGACTGATGTTGAAGCTAAAAACTCCAATTCTTTGGCCACCTGATGCGAAGAACTCATTGGAAAAGACCCTGATGCTGGGCAAGATTGAAGGCAGGAGTAAACAGGGATGACAGACATGAGATGGTTGGATGGTGTCATCAACTCCATGGACATGAGTTTGAGTAAGCTCCGGGAGATGTTGATGAACAGGGAAGCCTGGAGTGCTGCAGTCCATAGGGTCGCAAAAAGTCAGACACAACTGAGCGACTGAGCTGAACTGAACTTACACTTATTTTGGAACAGTGCAAACAAACAAGTACAGCCACATCTGTATTAGTCAATATGTAAGTCAAAAGTACAATCTGAAAGACAAAATACTGACTTCATCTTCATGTTTTCAGCTAAATTATTAATTTGAAGATCCACTCATTGAAAAGTACATGGACATGATTTTTTTTTATTTTTAATTGGAGGAAAATTGTTTTACACCATTGTGTTGGTTTCTGTCATACAACAATGCAAATCAGTCATAATCATGCATATATCACCTCCCTCACCTCCCTCTTGAGTCTCCCTCCCTTCCCCCACCCCACTCCTCTAGGTCATCACAAAGCCTCAGGCTGGGCTCCCTGTGTTATACAGCAACTTCTTACCAGCTATGTATTTTACATATGGTTTGTATGTATATCAATGCTACTTTCTGCATTTGTCCCACTCTCTCCTTCACTACTAACTTTTCAACAGACAGGCATTTACCAGTGTCAACTGTTCAAGACTTTTTCAGTCTCTCAGCCTTCATGTACATTTATCCAACCAGTGAATTATGAAAATTTGCCCCGTAAGAAACTGTATGACTTTTTCAAATGACTTTGATCTTTCAGTTCAGTTCAGTTGCTCAGTCATGTCTGACTCTCTGCGACCCCATGAACTGCAGCACACCAGGCCTCCCTGTCCATCACCGACTCCCAGAGTTTACTCAAACTCATGTCCATTGAGTCAGTGATGCTATCAAACCATCTCATCCTCTGTTGTCCCCTTCTCCTCCTGCCTTCAATTGTTCCCAGCATCAGGGTCTTTTCAAATAAGTCAGCTCTTTAAAAGAGCTCAAAAAACATTCAAGTTTTTTTTTGAACTTAGAATGATCGGTTTACCTGACACATAATACTATTCAAAAAAAAAATCTGTGCTATAAGACAAGAGTCATATGATAAAGCTGAGAGAAAGATGGTCTTTGTCATATTTTCTTTTCTTAGTTACAGTTGGCCCAGTTTATTTGGACTAGTTTCCTTTTCCAATGAGTCAGAATACTCACTGAAATGTCAAATTCATCTTTTTCAGTACCTGCAATCATAAATGGTGAAGCTGTAGGTTGATAAAACAGGCTGTTCAATCTCCTTTTTGGGGGGTCAATCTTCCAGCATTAACTATAAGAAAAATACATCATAAGTAAACTTTATTTTGGAGACAAAATGTTTTTATTCTAAAATATCTATTTCAGATGAAATCTAAGCATTTGGAAAAGTTCTGGAGTAACATTTTCAAAGAGGTAAAATGCAAAGCAAGAATCCATATTATACTTAGTTATGTTTCCACATATTTATATTTACTAGTGATTGCTCAAATATTTGGAGGACTTTCTAGCATCTTACTATTTATATTCTCTGTCTTATCCTTTTCTGATTCTGTTTTACCCCTTCCACACTGCCTTTTTTTGAATAAGATATTTTGTTGTTTTATCTTCTCTCTCTCAATCAGCTTATTATTAACTCAGATGCTGCAAACATTTTAAAAGACTTGACTTCACAGAATATACTCATATTAGGCTTTCTTTTTTTTTCATTTATTTTTATTAGCTGGAGGCTAATTACTTTATAATATTGTAGTGGTTTTTGTCATATATTGACATGAATCAGCCATGGATTTATTTTTAAGGCAAAGTGGCCATTGTGGCAAGAGGAATACAATGCAGGCAAGCATTGGTAGACCAAGTCCAGAAGATGCTGAGGCTCCTAGGGAAGTCTAAGACCCTTGGCCATTTACCACTAGGCTTATTAAATCAGTCAGGCCAGGACGAAACCAGCAGTAACAAAACTGATCACCAGTGGATGTTTGGACCTTAAACAACACATCATAGATTTATGGTCCTTATCTTGACCAACAGTTAAGAAAAGGACATTCAGATATCCTCAGAGATGAAGACAGAACATCAGTTCATTTGCCAGTCACCTCTTATCCCTCCCATCTAATTTAATAATATCTAAACTTAATATTTGGAGAAGGCAATGGCAACCCACTCCAGTACTCTTGCCTGGAGAATCCCAGGGATGGGGGAGCCTGGTGGACTGCCGTCTATGGGGTCGCACAGAGTCAGACATGACTGAAGTGACTTAGCAGCAGCAAACTTGATATTATTCTCTTCTTGACTTCAATGAAAATAAATAAATTTTAAAAATATTATTCTCTTCTTTTTGAAAAAATATTTTCTTTATATTCTAGCCTCTTTCCCTGACTCCAATGGATAAGTCACTATTACTGTTCTTTTAATTGGTCACAATCATTATACTTTTATTTAATCTTAGTTACATATTTTTACAGTGCATCTTCCATTTTATATTATGAAGTTAACAGTTTTCAATAAATCATTCTTATTGAAATTAATTATGCTTTTAACTAAAAATATTCTTCAGAAAATGCTAAAAGTAGAACCTAAATAAGATCCCACTCTAAAGTTGAATTCAAGTTACTTTTATTATAAGAATAACACAATTTTAGAAATATTCCTGGAGCAGGATGGCTGAATGAGATGTTTTTACACTACCATAGCATATATTACATATTATCTTTATTAAAGTATGGATATTAAAAACTGTAAGTGCCCTCTGACATTTCTTCTATGAGCATGTGTTGTTGACTCTGATTTGTAAGGAAAACTGTTCACTTTTTGCTTGATGTCAATGAATATCATTAAACTAGCATTTAAAAACTGATGTTACTTTCTATTTTTCCTATTTATTAAACATCTACATTTATGTGTAAGCTTTTAAAATTCCAATTATTTTCCAAAGTTATTGACTTTCATTATGCTAATTCAGATTAATGTATTGCATCTTAATATAAAAGTCTTTGATTCAATTATTCACACATGCATCATTCATGCACCAAACTTGATTATTTTTGTTTACCTTAGTCAACTGGTTACTGCTTATGAGTTCATATTGGTTATTTATTTTTCAGGTGATGGTATAATTAAAACCACTTAGAAATCTGCACGTGAAATCTTGTTTATCATATAAAGATAATAATTCAAAATCCTATGATTTTTCAAGACAAGTCTTAGACATAGCAAAACCATCAAATGCCACAAATATGTGTTATTTGTGAAGTGCAAAAGAATGTTTATTTTTCTCTATATTATAATCAGACATTAATAAACCATGGATCATGACATTACAATGGCATCACCAACTCAATGGATGTGAGTTTGAGAAACTCCAGGAGATAGTGAAAGATAGGGAAGCCTGGTGTGCAGCAGTTCATAGGGTCTTGCTCTTATCTCTTTTGTATGGCAAACGTATTCATCTTGGCATCCTTCAAAGTTTAATTTTTGGTTCTTTAAAATAGAAGACCCTTGATAATGAAAAGCCTTTCAGTTTGAGGTTATTGTCCCTGCTTTAAATATAAAAAAAATCTAATTTGAAACACAAAGCAACTTGTTCATTCTGTTCTTTCTGAATTCATTTTGGACCTCTCTTAACAGCATCTTCTTCAAAGCAATGAATGTTTCTGATCCAACTGCAGGAAGATGGAAGATGAAGTGAAAGAAATAGTTATGTAAGTAAAACCTTGGCTTATAGGTCTAAATTTTATTACAACATACATCTATTTGTGCAAATTTTCTTTTTTTTTCCAACTTGAGCATAACATATATGCAGAGATTTTTGCATATTTTAAGTGTCATAAACCACCCAAGTTAGGAAAGGGAACATATGTCAGAGCCACCTGTGTGCCAGAAGTCAACAACTATAATGACTTCTAACATTAATTCACATTATGGTTTTGACTATGCTTAAAATTTATATAAATTAACTGTATACAGTTTTTCAGGTTTTGCCTCTTTTGCTCAAAATTAGGCATGTGAGATTCATGCAGATCACTGACTGAGGCTCTAGCTATGCCACTGTAATTTTTGTACATTATTCTGTTGAGTAGATATATTCAAATTGATAATTTGGGATTGATACTTCAGTTTTCCAGTCCGGAATTTTATACATCATTTTACCATCAATATTGTTGTGTGTATCCTTTGTTAAGCATGTGCATACAATTTGCTTTGAAAGTTGTTTGTTTCCAGCATCACTAGATGATTCCAAAGAATTTTCCAAGGTTATAAAAATTCATTCCTCCTCAAGAAATGTGTGAGCACTACATCCTTGCCAAAATTTAGAATGGTCAGATATTTTATTTGGTTTTATTTTTTTTTAAGTCATTCTTAGAAGAAAGTTGGGCTTCCCTTATAGCTCAGTTGGTAAAGAATCTGCCTGCAATGCAGGAGACCTTCATTCAATTCCTAGGTCAGGAAGATCCACTGGAGAAAGGATAGGCTACCCACTTCAGTAATCCTGTGCTTCCCTTGTGGCTCAGCTGGTAAAGAATCTACCTTCAATGCTGGAGACCTGGGTTTGATGCCTGGGAAGGAAAAAGCTACCCGCTCCAGTATTCTGATCTGGAGAATTTCATGGACTGTATAACCCATGGGGTCACAAAGAGTCGGACATGACTGAGTGACTTTCACTTCACTTCATTAGAAGAAAATGTCTTAAAACTGATAAAAGGCAACTGTGAAAGTCTCACAGCTAACATTATTTTCCACTTAAAATCAGGGAATAGGGAAGGATGATGATTTAACTATTTCTCTTCAAAATTTTACTGAAAAATTTAGCCAGAATAATAAGTAAATAAATGAAATAAAAGTCATTACAATCTACTGGGAAGAAGTACATCTATTTCATTTGCAAACAAAGTGATTTTCTATCTTATCTTAGAATATGCTACAAAATATACATAAAAGCTACCTGAATAAATGAGTTTAGCAAGTTTTTAGGAAACTCACTGAGTGCATGCTAAGTTGCTTCAGTTGTTTCCAACTCTGTTCTGTCCATGAGACCTTCCAGGCAAGAATACTGGATTGGGTACTATGCCCTCCTCCAGTCGATATTTCCAATCCAAGGATCGAACCCATGTCTCTTAAATCTCCTGCATTGGCAGGCAGGCAGATTCTTTACCACTAGCACCATCTGGGAAGTCCACAGAAAACATGGCCAATATACAAAAATGCCTAGATGCTAACTTTCATTAAGAGAAATTTTACAAGAGTATACAATTCTACATTGACACAGTTTTCAGCACTAATTTTAAACAGTGGGGAGAATACAGATAATCGACCAAGGCAAGAAGGTATATCTTACCAATAACAATGTTTAGAAATTCCAGTGCTTTATGGTATAAAGAGCAGAGTGGTTTCTATTCAGATTTACTATATATTTAAATGTGTTACAGACAGTGAACATACTTACTGCCTGCACATCATCCTGGTATTGTTGTTGTTCAGTTGCTAAATCTTGTCTGACTCTTTGAGACCCTGTGGACTACAGCATGTCAGGCCTCTCTGTCCTTCACTGTCCTGGAGTTTGTTCAGACTTGTGTCCATTGTGTCGGTGATGCCATCCAACCATCTAATCCTTCTTCTCTTGCTCTCAATCTTTCCAAGCATCAGGGTCTTTTCCAATGAGTCAGCTCTTCAGACAAAGTGGCCAAAGTACTGGTGCTTCAGCTTCAGCATCAGTCTTTGCAGTGAATATTCAGGACTAATTTCCTTTAGGATTGACAGGTTTGATCTCCTTGCAGTTCAAGGGACTCTCAAGAGTCTTCTCCAGCACCACAGTATTCCATTAGTATCAAGGTGTCATTCAATGACATCCAGATTCCAAAAGTTTTGCTTAAAAGCAGCTGCTATTTTTAACTATAAATGTAGGTAAAATACTCCCCTTTCCCATCTTATTGGTGCTTTATAGATATCTCTTTGTGTTTGGTTTTAGTATGTGTGCATTTCATTTTATATTTGTATTTTTCCTCAAGTATTTGTTACAGCAGCACTTTAATCATTTTAGTAAAATCTGTATTTGTCTCTTAGGGCTGTTACTAAGTGACTGGCTTTAAAAAACAAAAATGAATTCTCTTATAGTTTAGAAGGCCAAAAGCCTGCTACAACAAACACCTAAGAAAATGTTAAAGTGGGTTTGGAATTGGGTAATGGGTAGAGGTTGGAAATTTTTTGAAACTCTCAATAGAAAAAGCTAGATTGCCTTGAAGAGATTGTTGATAGAAATATGGCCATCAAAGAAAATTCTGAGAAAGAATAAGAAAG